ACAAGATATCCCACCGGGACGGACGAATTTACTGCTGAAGGTGAAGACAAAATCCCAACCGACGACGTCCTCTGGCACAGTTCAATTTTCAAAGCTCTAGGAGTCGCAGCTTTGATCCTATCATATTCGAGACTAAGAGACTTAGCAGCTCCTGTCATCTTCAGAAAGCTCAGCAAACACTTAAGGAGGCACATTTCACGTTCGTTTCTTGACTCGGCTGAAGAAAGTTTTGATAGCGATTTTTTTGCCTCGAGTAATCGTAGTGAAGACATTTCAAGAAAACAGAAAATTGCCATCCTACTATGGATCCTTTTCCAAGGATGGCGAGGGTCATGGGAAAATGAGAATGAGTGTCATTGGTTCTCAACACAAGCGGCTCGAGTGTGCTTGCGTAGCGTTAGCTTCTCAGATGACAGAATCTGCGCAATACTCAACGGCGTTGTCTCCCAAGAACCAGATTTAGCTTCAAAGTCGAAGATATTCTCAACAAATGTCCAGCAGATTTTACGGGCTGCGACCGATAAAGTCGCTACAGTTGATTAGTTAGGCCGCCGCATCAACTCCAAATGAGTGGATGCCAAATATATCAGCCTTAAGAGGAAATGGTTATTCTGAGCTGCAGCTCTACATATTCGATGTCTTTCTTCGTTGAGCAATATTCGAAAGAACACTTTAAATCTGCTTCGCCTTTCTAGCCGGAGTGGACCAAGCGCTGCTGTGTGAGCAACGTGACAATAAGAGAGACCTCTCAGCTGTGTCTTTGAGGCAGGGGACATCTGTCGGAATAGCTCAGCGAAATCACGTTTTCTCACAGCATTAGCTACTTACCGGGTGTTTCTGAAGCGTTTTTGGCAGCCAGAGTGTATGACTACCAAGCCTGCACTCCGCCAATTGTGCACAAGTGCCATACTCACGGCCACCGTTTAACACAAAATTATTGTTGCAACTCATTGCAAGCACGATCCTGTGACAGTAGGTGGCTTGAAGAAGAGTTCCACAGAACTCACCATTCAGGCAGTGGATGACAACAGTTTTGGCCGACACAAGCTGCACAGCTTTGTCCGGGTATTTTTCGATCCAAGTGTTGAGGTTGGCTCTGAAGACAGCAGTGTTATCAGCCGTGTCGCGTTAAGGAATATACCACGCTTTCTTAAACTACCGCATCGTCTTACTCGCCGTTCACGCTAGCTCATTTATTAGTATTATAAAACCTATACGTTAGAACATATCGATATACTATACTCATCGTCGTCTCTAAGATTAATAATTATAACTCTATCGACCTCGATCACTTATAAAACATATACAATAAGACTCTTTACTATCGTATAGTATAGCGTATTTAATTTCTTATTAATTACGGCTTATTATATCTCTATAAGGGTAGAATTTACTTCGATAGTAAGGCCTACAGATAGAGCCACTCTTTTAAGCGGATTTTACTTCGTAATACTGGTTAGTAGTATTAAAGTTTATCGTCGGTACTATACTAGTAATAGTATTTTATATTAGTTGTTAACCGTTTATTTCGTTAATCTTAGCGATAATAGTATCTTATTTATCTACTATAGCTATAATCGAAGAATAATTTATAATTAGTCGTATATATAAAGAAGCTTTAGAAAAATTATTTATTTTTAAAGGATAAGCTTAATATCTCTAAAGTTCGAAGGTATTTTAAGTATAATATTCTTAATCGAGATACTTATATACCTAGAAGTACTAAAGGACTCTAAATAGTATTTCGATATTAGCTATACTGTTACGGTTAGGTCAGGTTAGGCCGTCAGACGGCTGCACCTGTAAGAAGATATGGAAAGATAGGCGAAGGAGCCTAGTACGTGGAGATAAGAGATAAGGATCACGTAGAAAGAAGTAATTAATGTGATTAGTACAAATTAGTAGTAATCAGTACTAAGTATATTGAGTACGACTAAGCAGTATTAAGCAATAAGTATTACCTTACGGGTATATAGATACGAGTCTCTTATGTTTATCTATAGCTTCTATAGTTAATTTAAGTTATATCTTAACTTGTCAGGGACCTCACTGGATAACAAGTTATCAAGTACGGTTCTGGGCTTTACTCGATAGAGGTAGAAGTATCAGGGATGCTAGAGCTGTGTCGAACAATAGTTGAGATGTAACTTAGGTTGACTATAGAAGCTATGGATATACATAAGAGACTCGTATCTATATACTCGTGAGGCGGTAGCCTTTGCTTAGTATTGCTCAGTGGTGCTCAGTGTGTTTAGCGGTGCTCAGTACTGATTACTCCTGATCAGCACTGATCACACTGATCTCCACTGATTACTTTCTTACACGTGATCCTTATCTCTTATCTGTACGTGCTAAGCTTCTTCGCCTATCCTTCCATATCTTCCTTCAGGTGCGGCCGTCAGACGGCCTGACCTGACCTAACCGTAATATAACTCTTATTTAATACAGCTTTAGTATCCCTAATACTTTTATCTTTATTAAGTAAAGCCTAGAACTATACTTAATAACTTATTATTCAGTAAGGTCCCTAATATTTTAACTATCTTCTTAATAGAAATATAATATCTATAAGCTTAAATAAGGCTACCCTAAGTAAGCTATTATTAACTTAGCTAATAGTATCTAAATAACTCTAATTACTAAACCTTAAAGAACTTATATAAAGTTTTAATTTATTTAATATATCTAGCTCTAGTATTAGTACTTTTATACTAAGTATTATAATCTTTATAATTAGTACTTTAGTAGCTTCTATTAAACCTAAAGTTAATATTATTAACGGTAAAGAAACTAAACTTAAGATTAAAAAATTTAAATACTAGGTTTAAGTATACCTTAAATTTAGAGACTTAACTAGGGATAAATAGGTCCTTTAAGTAAGTAATTTACTTTAAAACAAGGCTATAAACTAGTTTAAGCTATACTTAGAAGACTATTTTAAAAATAATAGAATAAAGGATCGTAAAAAATGTACTAACGACTTATTTAAAAATATTGATAAATTTCTTAAAGAACTTAGAAAGCTTTATAATAACTCTAATTTTACTTATAAGGTAGAAAGAGAACTCCGAATACTTTAATAAAAAGAATTAGTAATAGATTATATAACTAAATTCTATTATATTACTAAACGATTAAAGAGGAATAATAACGCTCTTTATATTAACTATTATTATAAGTTTAAGAACTTTATTAAGGACGAAATTATAAGACTTTTTAAAAACGATTATCCTTCCGAATTAGATAATTTTATTAAGGAAGTTAAAAAAATTAATACTTACCTTTAGGAATGTAAGCTTAAGAAGTTATAATACTATAGATATATTAGTAAGAAGCCTAACATTATTCACGGGATTATTGACGCGTCAATGGCATACAAATTAAGGTTTTCGCTGTGCCAAGGAACGTCTCGATAAGGCGGACACGTTCTACTTCGGTCGGACACGTTCTGATTCGAGGATTATTCCAGCCACAAATGGTGACTTTTGCCACAGTGCATGTCACACCAACCACACGACTGGTGTTTGGTCCAATCATCACTGCTCCTTAGCTCCACACTGTATCAGACCTGATCAATCTTGTTCTGACTGAATCCGAATGGTACTACTCAGGTTCGACCAAGTCTCATTGGTTCTGTTTTAATCTGAACACTTCTAACACGAGCCACTCTTATCCTGAACGTTCTAACACGAGCCACTCTTATCCATTTTCGACGTTATTCGTTAGTGTTAGCCTGTTCTACTTCAGTCCGACTCGTTCTACTTCAGTCCGACTTGTTCTACTTCAGTCCGACTCGTTCCACTTCAGTTCGACTTGTTCTACTTCAGTCCGACTTGTTCTACTTCAGTCCGACTCGTTCCACTTCAGTTCGACTTGTTCCACTTTAATCCGATGCATTCTACTTTCATTTCATAGTACTAGGCGCACTCCTAATTAGGAAGAAGAAGCTAGTAGCGTCCCTACTTAATTACTATCTTACTACTCCGGTAGACCTTTCCTACCTACTAGTACAAAGTTGAATCTTATTATAATTACTCTCGGTATAAGGCTTAGGTGGACTGGATATAGGGTTCTGTTTACGAGGGTAAAAGGTATAGTACATAGTACTAGAGTGTAGGGCGTCGAACGCGGAATGATAAGATTATTCGAGCGGTAATAATATAACTGATATAGAACAGTAGTAGTCAGAACTAGAACTAAGGTAGAACTATAATAGTGATCCTAGGGGTAAGGGTACACTTTAATTAACTACTGAAGGAGAGACTATCCACCGAACATACCTAGAACCAGATTAATATCTACAAATGATGTGCTCTGTATACTTAGTACGTTTAGGACCGAGTATCCTAAGCACTACGAGCGCGTCGTCTCGACCGACTTACTATGCTTAGGGTCCTCGAAACTAAGTATACCAAGCACTCTACAGCCCTGACAGCTTTCGCTTGTGCAGTGCTGAGATCGTAGGATCCTTTGATGTTTTCAACCTCCTCATCGGTGTGGTTAAGTAGTGGTGATGATAGACAACAAGGACTGACCCAACCCGCCTATTTATAACAGGAAACTGTCTTATAAGTCAAGCATTAGCGATGTTTTGTAGATACTTTACCTGGCACTTCACCACTCACTTTATTACTTCACCTGGCACTTCACCACTCACTTTACTACTTCACCTGGCACTTCACCACTCACTTTACTACTTCACCTGGTACTTCACCTGGTACTTCACCTGGTACTTCACCTGGTACTTCACCTGGTACACCTGGCACTTCACCTGGCACTGTATCTCTCGCTTCATCTCTGTCTTCATCTCTGTCTTCATCTCTGTCTTCATCTCTGTCTTCATCTCTCACTTCAGCCCTCACTTTAGCCCTCACTTTACACTTTACTTTACACCTCACGTCACTTCTTATATCCCCTTTAAACTGACAGAGGAACGCGGATGGTTAATAAGTAAGCGTGTACGTTTTGTCATTACAATTCGGTACTCTGCCCCATTCAATGATCAAGTAGTGTAGTGGTTAGCACGTCGTACTATCGTTTCCTGGTATTGAGCATCGAGTAATAGATGTTCGATACCAAGAGAGATACGGAGGCCTGGGTTCGACTCCCAGCTTGACCAGCTTTCTTTTCTTTTTAGCATTTTTCGGGCTCCGGAGTGTGCGGCAAGTGGCTGACACTCCGGGTGTTCCTCTTTTCACGCCCGTATTCACTTCACCCGGTACTTCACCTGGTACTTCACCTGGTACTTCACCTGGCACTGTATCTGACCCTTCATCTCTCCCTTCACCTGGTACTTTTCCTCTGTCTTCATCTAGCACATCATCTGCTACTCTACTTACTGCTCCATCTCTCACCTCGTTTCTTGCTTTATTTCCACTTTATACCTCACTTCGCCCGGTACCCTGCCTGCTACTTCATCTCTCACTTCACCTCTCACTTCATTTCTTATTTCACCTGGCACTTCACCTGGTACTGTATCTGACACTTTGTCTCTTACTTCGTCCCTCACTTTACACTTTACTTTACACTTTGCTTCAAACCTTCCGTCACCATTTACGTCCTCTTTTCTTCACCGACAGAGGAACGCGGATGGTTAATAAGTGAGCGTGTACGTTTTGTCATTACAATTCGGTACTCTTCGATATTCGATGATTAAGTAGTGCAGTAGTTAGCACGTCGTACTATCATCTCTTGGTATTGGGCATCGAGTTATAGATGTTCGATACTAAGAGAGATGCGGAGACCTGGGTTCGACTCCCAGCTTAACCAGCTTCCTTTTTGGCATTTTTCAGGCTCCGGAGTGTGCGGCAAGCGGTTGACACTCCGTGTGTTCCTTCTTCACGCCCGTATTCACCCCCGGATACACTCCCGTGTTTACTTCACCTGCTACTCCACCTGGTGCTTCATCACTCACTTCATCACTCACTTCACCACTCACTTCACCACTCACGTCATTGGACACTTCCTCGAGCACTTCACCTAGCACTTCAGCTCTCACTTTAGCTCTCATTTTAGCTCCTCAGTTTAGCTCCTCACTTCGTCTCTCGCTTCCTCTCTCTCACTTCATCTCTCACTTCGCCTACTACTTTGCCTGCTACCTTACCTGCCACCTCACTTCTCACTTCACTTCTCACTTCACCCGGCATTCCATCTGGCACTATATCTGGCACCTCATCTCTTACTTCATCTCTTACTTCATCTCTTACTTCATCTCTTACTTCATCTCTTACTTCATCTCTTACTTCATCTCTCACTTCATCTCTTACTTCATCTCTTACTTCATCTCTTACTTCATCTCTTACTTCACTTCTTACTTTACTCCTCACTTCATCTGGCACTTCATCTCTCGCTTTTTCTCTCACAACACCAGTAAGCGGGTAATTCTTCTTCGTCTTCTGCTGCTGCTACTATTGATTCCTCCTCCTCTTTCTCTTCCGCCTCTTCGCTATTACCAGGGTCTGACTCGACGGCATAAAGAGTAAAGTGTTGTAGCTCGAAACAGAAAGAGAGCGGGTTACGGAATGACATCGTTATTTATATTCGTGTGGAATCGAAGTACTGGTGGGACAGGAGTTGTTATAAGGTAGTCACGGAGATCATTGTGATGTTCCCTTCTATTGATGGACATTGATACTAGGAGGTTGGTTCGTACGGTAGGTAAATCGTTACAGCCGGGATCTTGAATCGATGTCCTCCGATTCACTTTCGGATAACAAAAACTTCGAAGTACTGGTGGGACAGGAGCTGTCGTGAGGCGATCTCGAAAAAGTTGGGGTTCAAGTTCCCTTCCGTTCAGGGGTATTAGTGTAGGAGGTTGGTTCGTACGGTATGCAAATTGTTGCAGTCGGGATCTTACAGCGATGTCCTCCGATTCACTTTCGGACGTCGAAAACTCGACAGTGACCGTAAGTAGGACCGATACTGCTCGTACGGGCCCGTCTTCTGCTACTATCCCGTGTTCGAGTAATAGGAGTTTTGCTGTGCACAGACAATGCCTGGACTCCCAACGAACGAGCGATTTGCCGAGTCTATAGCAATTGCTCGTGGCCCAACTGGTTTAGTAGGGTCTCATTCAGTTTCTCGATGCTTGAGAAGATTTCATGTCCATTCCCACCGTGTCTTATTTCCCGATACCGAGCATCGAGTTTGGGAAGCCATGTTACGATGACGTTACTGGTGAAGCCCTTTCATGTGAGCTTCGTACTGAAGAGGCGGTGGAAAACAGATGGAACACCTCTGCGTCGATGCAGGCGCCTGGGTAGATATAAGACCGTTCCGTTGTGGTCGGACCACCTATGGCAAGGTCGCTTTTGTCGTAATATTGGCAAGTATCGTGTTCGAGATGAAGACATCTACCTGCCGAGATGGTAAGAGGTAGTAGGAGGAAAGAAGAGATGAGAAGGAGGGCACGATATAAGTAGACGAGGTAAACGAAAGGTTGTCGAATGTCGACATAGAATCATACTAAAGTGAAGACATCATCCCTAACCTCGAGCCCAACTGACATCATGCTACTTCATCTTTCACTTCATCTTTCACTCCATCTTTCACTTCATCTTTCATTTCATCTTTCATTTCATCTTTCACTTCACCTCTTACATCAGCCCTCACTTCACCTCTTACTTCATCTCTCGCTTCCTCTCTCTCACTTCACCTACCGCTTCATTTCCAACTTTACTTCTTATCTCACCTGGCACTACATCTGGCACCGCATCTGGTGCTTCAGCTCTCACTTCCTCTCTTACCTTACCGTGCACCTCTCATCTCACCTCTCATCTCACCTCTCACTTCACCTCTCACTTCACCTCTCACTTCACCTCTCACTTCACCTCTCACTTCACCGCTCACTTCACCTCTCACTTCACCTCTCACTTCACCTCTCACTTCAGCCCTCACTTCGTCTGCTACTTCATCTTTTACTTCACACTTAATTGGACGTCTTACCCACCTGGCACTTCACCTGGTACTCCACCTGGCACTTCATCTAGTACTCCATCTGGTACTCCATCTGGGTCTCCATCCGGTTCTCTAGCTGGCACCGTATCTAGCACTACACCTGGGACTCCATCTCACTTCACCTCTCTCACTTTACCTCTCTCACTTCACCTCTCTCACTTCACCTCTCTCACTTCACCTCTCTCACTTCACCTCTCACCTAGCACTTCACCGCTCACTCCACCTCTCACTTCACCTACCACTTCATCTTTCAATTTACATCTCATTTCGAGCTCTCACTCCACCTGACACTTCTAAGCCGAGAAGAGATGGAACCTGAACGAAACGGGTATCGCCCTAGGCGTCCATACTCATCCAACCGGGATTTTCGACGTCCTCTCCCTCGCGATAATACGCTCAGAGACCTACACGTCATTAGGAGGGATCTATGATCGATTCTGCGCGACTTCGATAGATTCTCTTGGAGTCCAACGTATACTACTTCAGGTCGATCGGTACTCCTCGAGCACCAGATAGGTTGGGTTACGGTTCTGTCGAGGTCCCCAGGCCTGGTCAGACGGGAAACGTGTGGAGAGCGTGCGAGGACCCAGTAGAAGGATACGAATCCGGGGCACTTCGACCCGAACAGGGTCCCACGATGCGACAGACCACGGACGGAGAGCACTAACGAGGGAGTGGTCGGATGAACCTGAGCTCGAGCGGTAGATACTTTACGACGAGGTGAGCATCCTGCGTCTTCTCTTGACCCATAAGTCGAACCCGTGGGAGCACCGAACAGTAGTCACCTGTCTATTCTGTCGACTCGGTCGATCGTGTTTTATTCTGTTGTAGAACCGGCAGAATGGACAGAACAGCACTTCCCAGTAGTATTCACGATAGCTTACCTGGTCGATTCATTCGTGCGAACGTCCCGAGCTCCAAGTGTTGATTATCGGGTGGGCATAACACCGGGGTTGGTCGAGACAGCAACAAGAACCATAAGGACTGGCTTACACGCTCAATGTTTTCGTTCTATTGGGACCTTCGGGGTTTCCACTACACCATACCAGTGTCATAGCAGATCCCGAATGTTATAGTACCTCCCCCCCTTTCCTCCTTCATCCGACGTACTGGCGCCAGCCATCCACCTTCCTCGAAATTGTCTCCCACACCTCATCCTTCGATCGCTAGGTCCCTTGGTAAGAACCGGCGGGCGTGAATAAAACCGTTCGGCGACGCTTGTTTGTCCACCGGGTAGCTGAAGTTTTTCCCGGGCGACCTTGTTCGTTCCGAACAGTGTTTCTGTCCCATCCTTCTTCTGGCAGATCGACCTGTCTGGTGGGTTGCTGTGTAGGGCCGTACGGTAGATCCTAAAGGAGCTGGCTGGCTCGAACGTCACGCGGAAGTAGGCGCCATCAGGTCCCGAGCTCACTGGGATGTGGAGATGTCCTCCTTGTGTGGTTACCCATGTTCGTGTTCTCGACGTTTGATGGCCTTGGGGTTGACGATTGACCTACAGCTTTGTTGGGCTGTCGTCGCTGGCACGAGATATGTACTCGCTCCTCCTCCTGTATACTCCGCCACGGAAATTCCTCGGCGATGTCGGGCTAGTTTTGAATATGAAACGTGCAGTTAACAGGGTCGTTCGGCCAATCTCGGGGGGTTCTTTTCCACCACGGGGCGGACGTCTTAGCGTTATAGCGTACTACTAGGTCATCTAGGTCATCGTTAATACCGCTGACGAGAGCGACGAGAGCGGCCTATACGACGGACCGAAGAAGTAACAATAAGCCCAGCCGGATGAGAAGACTTATAAGGACCGTCATCTTCTTATCAGTAGCCGTAAGAGATATGGACCGAGACAATAGTACTCGAGTAGTAATAACGATAATAACAACGATAATACCAACGACAATGATGATGATGATAGTGATGATGACGATAATAATGATAACAACCCCGATGATAACAACGACGATAATAACAGCAGTAACACTAGTGGTAATGACGGTAGTGGTGGTGGTGGTGGTGGTGGTGGTGAAGCTGGTGGTGGTGGTGGTGATGGTGGTGGTGGTAAGCTTTTACCCGTTAGCAGAACCCTACCCGATATATGTAGTTTGCCGTCGACGTCGAAGCCCCCCCGCTCATCGGTCAGCTTATCTTTTCGTTCGCAGTACCTGGGTAAGACGATATCCGGTTCGACCGAGGCCAGGTAGGTGTACACTTGGTTAGCCTCGGTGTACACCACTCGGAAGGTATACCACTGATTGAGTTCCCGTGGAAGGATCCTATATTTTGATGGCTCGATCCCGGGCTCTCGCTGGCAGTAGTATTGAAGGGATAGAGTCTCGTCGAGGGCGCTTTGCCGATCGATAATGGCGATGAGATCTTGCTCGACGGTGTCGTTCTGGGATTGCTGCTGGAGGGCCCATTGACGACAGTCCTGTTCGGACGCCCCAATGAAGTCGGTCTCGACCCTCTCGTTCTCCGTCAGGACCGTTCGACACGGTTGATGCTCGCCGGGACCATCGCGTGATTCCACCAAGGAGAACATGTGACGTTTCCCCCCTTGACGCCGAACCTGGAGGACCTTCCGAACGAACTGTCCCCCTTCGTGATTAGGCTGACGCTCTCGTAGACGTAGATGTGTTGATGTTGCTTACCGTCTTGGCCTGCTCGGCCACACAGAACAGTAGTATATAGGTCATCCTGATCCGTTCGGACGGGATAGGCTCCAGCAACGACGCCGGTTTTTCCTTCTTCTGCGGTTGCGAGGGTGTGAGAGTGAGGTGGTACGAGGGGGAAAGAGGGAGTCGAGCTGATCCCGCTGACGA